ATGATGGAGAGCAAGACACCAAAGCTACTTGGCTGGAAAAACACATATTATGTTCCTGTACCTGTACCTTTCTGAGAGGAAGAGATTAGCTGATGGCTCCTCTGAACTGTAAGGATCCAAGATGAGGCAGAAAACACTTTTTTAGGTTCTCTTTTTCTTTTTGGCAGTACTAGCACTTGAACTTGGTGCTTGCTAGGCAGGCACTCCACCACTTGAACCACATTTCTAGCCCTTTTTGGTCCTCTGTACCTCAAGAGGAAAAGCTTCAAAGAGGAGCACCAGGAGGCCACTTCATGGCACTGCTTATCTGCAGTAGCTTTGTTGTTTACATAAACTGAAGGTGGGAAGGAAGTAAGAGCTGATTGCAACAGGTTGGTTGTAGGGTTGGTGAGAAAGTCGGATTTAATTAAAGATATTTCATTGGAATTCATGGTAAAGGTGGCAGCTCCCAGGGCTGGGCTGAATTCCTAAACCTGAAAACAGGATGTTAATGAGGAGAAAGCAGGGAGCAATCATTAGAGTGATGGCATAAAAACAAGAATGGGAGGGAATGAATGAATGATTGGGGAAAACATTAGACTTGACCCTCTGAAATGCTCTAAAACCCCATTGCCTTTTAGATGTTCGTCAAACATTCCACAATGGTCTTCACATCCATCTTTCAAAGTCTCAAGACTATGACATTAGTCTCCCTAGAGCACCTGCTTCATCACGTCACTATAGTTCCTTCCTCTGTGTTGATTAGAACTTGTCTGGTGGAGGGAGTCTCTATAGTCTGGCTCAAGCTGATTTCTTACATTTTCTAATCCATGGCATTCCTGCCATTCTACACTTGCTCTCAGGATGCTCCACCTTTCCATTTCTCTTCATCCCATGCGTTGACATCTTCACTTCTGCCACTCATCCATCTTCTCTCCACAATACTTTCTGAGACCCATGACATGATAAGCACTGACATGCAGGTTACAGCTTATCAGAGGTGACCAAGAAATGACAGTCTGATTTACCCATAGTCCCATGTACTAACTCTTATGAAGGCATAGAGGAGAAAGGCATGAACTGAATGAGTCAGAAAAGGCTTGACGCAGGAGGTAAGATTTGATTTAGGTTTTGAAGGATGAAAGTAAGTTCAAGAATTCCATCTAGCTTTTTCTTCTACTCTTATGACTTCCATAGTTCATACCTTCATCATGAACCTCATTAATTTTAATACATGGTATAAAGTATATAATTTATTAACATATTACATGTTTCAGACTCCAAACTTCTTAACATGCCAGTTCATATGCTTCTTTTGAATCCTCAAACCTTATCATGATGCTGAGTACTGGGCATATAACCAAGGCCAGAATGATACTGGCGGGTTCATCTGATAATCTATCAACATTCATGTGTGTCTTAGTTTTATGTGTCACAAAAGAAAACATATCTATTGACCATTGCCTATGTAGCAGAGTTAGTATTAAAGCTTTATGTGTGTTCCTTCATTTAGAGAGATTAAGCAGGCAGTGGGATGTTTCTGGTTCTTCTTATCACTAGATGTGTGGCATCAGGGAAGATCCTTAAACCCTTGAAGTCTTAATCCTTTTCTGTGAAAAATGATGCAATAATAGCTACCTCATAGGATTATATAGGATACTCGAGGCAGAATACTCTGTGTTCAGAAATGCTTCATAAGTCTTCCTCTTTTCTGTTCTCCTTTTCCCTACATCTTAGATCTGAAAAATTAGAATACTAGCCATGACAGCAGAGAAAAAAAGTGCTTTTCTTTGGCAACATTCTATATGATTGAAATTTTCTTTCCTCAAATGTCAACTCTTTTTGATGTCATAATTTAGTTGTTTAACATATTCTTAGAAGACTAACATTGTTTAGAGATGCTTCAGTCTGCAATGCTGAAAAATAAAGCTGGATAAAGAAATCGTCGTATCTTAGTCACGAATGGTTATCAACACAATTTCTGAAATTTAGAACTCCTAGAGCCAGTTTTTTTCAATGTTGAAAAAGAGGCACTTCATACAGAAAGAAGTTAATTATTCTCTTTCTCAGTTTCAGCAAGAAGCACATTTATTACAGGTTCAGCAAAGTTGAACTGGATAATATTTAAGGGGTTTCATTATATTCGGAGAACTTTTTCATCAATCAGAGATTTAGCACCCATCAAAAAGGACTCCACAATTAATCTTTTTAAACATGGATATGACATAATCTCTACATTAAGAAAAAAATTAAATATAAGGGAAGACTATTCATAAGCTTTAATATTTCTTGGTAAAGAAAAACTGCTTTGTGTTTTTAAAGAAATGGTGAAGAATGTAAGTGAAACTTACATGCTTGAAATTAGTGCCAGATGCAACACAATTCAAGCACAATTTGCTAGCTGTGCTTGGCATTTCATTATGATTTACTAAAAGTATTCAATAATTCTATGTTTCATAGAAATCTCAAGAATACAGCTATTTCATTCACAAAATGCATGGGTTGGCAGGTTTCCAGGGTAGGAATTTGCTGCAGGAAAGGTAAATTTATTGGTTAAAATAAATCAAAGAACTGACAAATGCTTAGAAAACTGGCAAAACAATAATATTCAGAAACTGAAAAGCCTCACAACTGGAGCACAGAAGAAAAATCTGAACTATTGTTTATCTTTATTGTAGGAACACAATAATACTATAGAGTAAGCAATTAGGTTTTTGAGAATTTTCATATAAACATTTCAGAATTAAAATTTAAAATATGTATTTTTGAAGTAGGACTTTCCAAAACCTTTTGATACGAAATCTGGTGTTTATAAATCTTTGAAGTACTTATTCTTCTTCTAGCCATTGCACACTCATGTGCACTAATGAGCATTCTTTAATGAAATATATGTAGAAGTATTTCAGTTATTTAACATGCCAATATTACCTTTTCCCTACACTGTGCCACAATATTCCTCCCTCTGTCTTCTCTCTATTCTCTCATTTCTATCATCAGCAATTGTTATGGGCAGAATGGTTGAGTACCCTCCAAGTTCTTATGTTGAAGACTTAATCCACAATGTGGCTATAATTGGAGATGGGGCCTTTAAAGAATTTAAACTCAAATAAGGTCAAAAGGGTGGAGTCTTGATCTGTTAGGATTACTGTCCTGATGAGAAGAGAGACGGGACACCAGAGAGTTCCCCCAGTCTGGCCTCAGAAAGAGATCACGTGAGCACAGAGACGTGGTGGCTGCCTATAACCCAACACAAGAGACCTCAGAATAAAACCTACTTTGCTGGTATACCTCCAGCATCCAGAACTTGAGAAATGAATGTGTTATTTAAGCTACTCAATCTATTCTATCTTGTTATGGCAGCCCAAGCAGACTAATACACCGATTAATAAGCTCAATGCAAACAATTACAACAACATTTAATATCCACTCTTTCTTTAACTGCTTAGCATTACAAGGATCTAGATGCAAGGAAAACCCTTTGGAGAAGCTGGACAGGTTTGTCCAGGAGAGTTTCATATAAATCCTTATTTGGCCTTGCTTCTACTCTAGAATGTGAGCACAAGAAGGGACCTGCGCCACTCAGGCATATCATATTAGGTTTTACTGTGATTCTGAAATTCTCAGAAACCACTCCATAAACTTGGCATACCTTTTGGAAGATGTTGGAGGTAACCTGGGGTAATGGATAAATAATTGGCTTAACTGTCTGTTAATGCTAAATCAAGATATATTATTTTGCACAAGCAAAATTTTTATACAACTTTAAATGCTTCAGCAAAGGGCATATGGCTAATGTTTAAAAAAAAGTAGCAACAGCTAAGACTAAAAATTATTGTGAGCCAATTAATATGTTTGTTAAAATAAACTGAATTTGGTCTAAAGCTGATTCCCTACTTTGAATAACTACATAGCTTGAACTGCAACCTAAAGAGTATATTTTTATAATTACTTGCTGAGTCTTGGCCAATTATAACTCTACCTTCAGCCAATCGCAGCCTGCCAGTGAATCAGACCATGTCCATATACAACAAATGCCCGGCTATAACCAATCAAGCTATTGTTTGCATCGCTTCCTTTTAAAAGAATCTATAAAGACTGCCTGCTTGCCCAGGGGTGGAGCTCTCTAAACTTTTTTTTTTTTTTTTTTTTTACTGATTTGGGGCGCTTCTCCATTCATGAATATTTGCTCAGATAAACTCTGCTAGATTTAATGTGTAAAGTTTTTTTCTTTAAACCTGTTAAAAGGCTTTATTTGTATTTTATTTTATAGTTATCATAGCACAAGAAAATAGGAATGTAGTCTTAATCTTATTTCAGAACACTATATCGGTAAACAGACGCATTTGCACAATAGTCCTACTTCTATCACATTGCCTTGTTTATTTTCCTCGCGTTTGTTTTCTTTCCCTGTGTTTTTCTCCTTGCTAATTTTCTATGTTCCTCCAAGCCCTTCCTTAGGGCCCAAGGCGCACGCTCCGACCGAGGGTCACAGTTGACCATCCATCACCACCAGGTGGTCGCACCTACAAGGCAGAAGCCGGTGCCAGGAGCCCAGTGGGCACTCCATAAATAAGTGCAGAGAGGAAAGAGGAAGGAAGGGAGGGAGGGGAAAGCACTGATGAATGAAAACGTTCCAAGAAAAGCCTTGAGACAATCTACAGCGCTCTCTCCTTGTTGAGCGAACTCAGCTCAGCGTCCAAGTCAGCACTTTCCTCCCCCAGTCACACCAGCATACGGCAAGGAATGAAGAAAGGACAAATAAGCTTAAAAAAACCAAAAAACTCGGAAGAGAGGAGAAAACAGTGAGGAAAACCGAGCGAGGAGAGAAGAAAGAAACAAGCCGCTCCCTTCAGGCCCATGGATACGGGAAGCCAACCGAGTCCGTTCCCATGACAACCACTGCGCCAGTCCAGCCCCAGCTCATTGGCTGAGGTGCCGCAGCCAATCAGAAGGCGCGATGTTTACGTGGTCCTAAGATGGCCGCCGGACGGCCGCTTTCAACCGGTGAGTATCACTTATCACCGGGCTAGTTCCCGGCGGGCTCTGACGCCAGCGTCTCGGGTCCAGGGTGCGGGGGCCGCGAGAGCGGCTGAAGAAGCTAATCCGCACGGCCGAGGCCCCGCCAGTGGGAACGACGGCGGGGTTGTCCCCTGCTCTGCTCGGAGCGGCGTCGTGGCGCGTCCCCCCAGTCGGTTAGTGGGAGAGGGGCTGTGTCCCATCCAAGCAAGGTGGGAAAGGGCGAGGAGGGTTTCGAACGTGCAAACAGGGTCACACTCTCGGAGCTGCCGAGTTCCGGGTTGTGCGGCCCCGAGGAAGAGCTGGCCCTTTCTAGAGTCGCCCTCTTGCAGTCGCGAGCCCCGTGAGTATCCTCACGCCGGCGGCGACATGTTGTTACTGGTTCATTGCAAACCTTGCCATCCAGGGTCAGGGGCCTGGGGAAGTGTTTGCCAGGCCTCGGCCGAACGCTAGCCTGCATCAAAAGTTCTGCCAAACAAACAGTTTCTCCAGAGAGACAGCCTGGCAGTCAGCTGACAACTGAAATCAGGCTTGTGGTTCAGTTGTACTTTCTGTACCTTTTTGAGAAAAGGGAACATATTTCTTTCATAAAAAATAAACAGGGCATTTGCTTTAATGTTGATATGACTTAACGTGCGTAAAGGTGTTTTAGTAATTTCAAAGCACAGGAACTGGTTGATGTGTAATTTAACAAGATCTTTCAGATGATGGAGGTTAGGATTAATAAAATTGAGACTTCTGTGATTATTCCTAATTGAATGCAAAATAGGGGATACAAGTCAACTTCATTTGGTGAAAATGGAATCTAAATTCTGGAATATTAGAGACAGGAAACATTTATCTGTTGAGCTACACAGATTGTATCATTTGGATTTTGATTATAAGCAGCTTCCTGGTCTTCCAGAAAATAAGACGGTATTATTCTAATCTCTCAATGTGTCATTGGTATATGTAATTTAATGTAACATCTTATTTAGTGGCTTTAAAATTCTTCTTAACCAAATTGTAGCAAGTCTATAATTACAGGATAGCATCAATCTTTGGACCCACTCTGAAAGGATATGTTACCACTTCCCACCTTTGCTCTCTAAAAGTTCATAATTTAAAGCCATAGGGTTCTATTCTTGTAAAATAAGTGACTCAATGCATTAGGCTAGTCACTAACCTCATTTGAAAAAAAGAGTATTGATGGTAATTTCTAGTAGAATTTTGAGGATTAATGGTAAACAAATGCCTGCCATATTGTGTGCTAAATGTGACAGTGACCTGCTTTGTTTTATCTTTCTGTTTCTGTGTCTTCTATCTTCTGTTGTAACTGGGGTTTCCTTTTCTTTCTCAGTGTGCCTAGGTGCACAATTTCTCTAAAAACTAGTAATCTTGGATGGGTTTTGAGGTAGAGGAGAGAAACCTTATCTACTGGGCTTTAATCAGGATTATGTATGAATGGGAGAGAATGGCATGTTACAGCAGGGAGCAAGGCAGCTTTAGGCATTTGGAGTACTTGTGATATTAAGGTCATAAACGTTTTAGAGCTGCAGGACATCTTAGAGATCATCTGATCAAACCTTCACTTTAAAGCTTCATGGTGGAGACTGAGGCAAATGTAGTGGCCTGTACAGGACTAGAATTCATCTCCTTTCAAGATCTTTCTTGCTGCTCTAACCAGTGGTTCCCAATCCTTGCACAATCTAGAGCCTCTTTTATTATGATTTGATGTCTCTGTGATTCTGTATTTTGAAAGATGATACTTACTAAACTATATTTTTTTTTCTATAAAAATTGGGCCTATGGTTAACATGAACCTGTAGTGAAGAGTAGTACTTCACAGAATTTAAGTCTGCTTACCTAATGGTGGATGGTATTGTCTCAGTGTGTGGAAAGGTGAAATGTGTTGGGTTTTTAAAAATACTGGTATTACTTTTGTCATAAAACTTTGTAAAAGCCATAGGTAAGAACCACTGAACTATGTCTGTCCTAAATGCATTAGTTTCTGCCATAGTGCACTAAGTGATGACTATGGTGGTTTTATAAGGACAAAAGAAAATACAGCTATTCAGACTAAGACAATACAGAGATAATCGTAGGAAATTGTGTCAGCCCAGGTCTAAAGATGTGTTGTGTGTAGTACACGCAGAATGTTGGGTAGGATAATTGTGAAATGGAATAAATCTTAACTTCAGAGATGAATTTGTATGAAATGAAGTAAGAGGGTGATATAGAAAACCATAGGGAAAAAGGGGATTCTGAATCATTTACATTTTTCTTGGGGCTAAAGTGATTAAAATAAAAATTACTGAGTTACAGGCTAAAAACTAAAAGCCTACGGATTAATGCATTGGCTGTTATATGGACCTGACTGTACTCTACATGAAAAAAAAATTAAGCTGTTACTTCTTTGGTATTCTACAGCCCTTGAGAATGGCTGAGTGAATTTTCTCAGTGAAAGGGTAGCGTGGGTTTATCTATCTTAAAATAAAGAAATACACTCTGAAAGGCATGAGAAAGAGACTTCAAAGAGAGAGAGAAGCTAAGACAGAAATAACAGGAGGCCAGACATGGTGCCAAATAGAAAATGTGTGAATGATATGTATATGCCATGCATAGGAAGCAGTGTTTTCAAACATGAGCCCTCAGCAGAAGTTGCTAAGCTGCCTCTCCATATTGGCTGGTGTGCAGTGGAGCTGCTTTTAAACCAGCAACTCCATTTTGCAGGTTCCTTAGTGAGTGGCAGCAGTTAACATGTTTATTAATAACTACTTGCATCTCCTTTATATGTGTTTTTTTTGTTTTTGTTTTGTGTTGTTTCTTTGGATATACCCAGTAAATTATCCTATCAGGCAAATACTATATTGAAGACAATTTTAATGCCAGATCAGCAGGAGCTAAAAATAATTATGAGAAAGTCCAAAAAATCCACAAAAATGCTTGAAGACTAATGAGGAAAAGCATGTTTTCTAATTGCAGCAAGAGACTGTTCCCCAGGGTGAAGCACATTCAGGTGCTCAGACTGTGATGCTGCAGAAATGCTAAAAATGGCCTAGCAAGAGACCTGTTCTACTGCGCCTTGGGGGAGGCACTTACAGGGATGGCATCTAAGGTCCTGGCTGAGTGACACCTGCTGATCCATAGACACTTGCCATATATGTAGATATTGCTCCATGAGGCTATGGAATTTTGCCTGCTTTTTGTACTTCTCTATCTCCAAGGTCTTGAACAATACTTGGCACACAGCATGTAAAAGATGCCATGGATAGGGAAAAAAAAAAAACCAAAAAAACCAAACCAAAACAGTGTTTCCTAATGTAGGCCCCAGTTGTGCTAAGAAATCTAAGTCTGGAATTTGTTGTTTTTAAGTTCTCAAATGGGTAATGAGCCTAAAGGTATTATGTGAGTAGCAAAGTCATGTTGGAGCTATTACTGCTCTTGGTGATTTGTATCAGTTGCTAAGTGAATGCACCACAAATATTACAAATTTCAAAACTTTTGTGAACCTTACCACCCATAATAGAAACGATAAAAATGTAATATGTGACCACAGAAATAATAACTGCAAAAAAGAACTAAACATTTAGAGCCCCCTACAATCTCCATACGCCCCAGAATAACCCTCTAAACAGTATAATTATCCCTGTGTTACAGTTAAAGAGCCTGATGGTTGGAGTTGTTAATGATTTCCTTGTACCACTAGTGGGTAGTAGAGTCAATTCTGGTTGGAGCAGAAAGATGTCAGGGTCTGTTCTCTTAAAAAGCCAAGAGAATATTTTGTTGAGAATGTTTCAGAGAATTAACACCTGGTGAACCTGGTCCAAAACCACAAAAAATAAGACCTGGTTCTTTGGATTTGGGAAGAAAGCCTTAAATGTGAAACAGTAATCTATTATTGACAGTAACACAAAAACTCCTGATGCCTATGTCCCCAAGAGAATGTTTTTTGTTTTTTAAATTCAGGTTAATCAGTGTGGGGCCAAAAACTCACCAAAACATCTTTCTGTCCTTCCATTCCATTCCTTTGATTTGGTAATAAATAAGGAGAGCAGTGACTAACTCATTTGGATTAGCTGGTTTGGGCTCAGTATGTGAACAAAAATAGACTGCTCCATGGAGAGCAGTAATGAAGATGTGTTGATTACCATAATTTTAGCAAATGATTATGCTCTGATTTTTAAAAATCACTTTTTCAATTTAACAGTAGTTAATGATTTCTTGCTACCAATGAGCTGTACTGGTAATGCTAAATACTGCCCTGAGTTTTCACATTAGTTTTCCAAATACATTTTGTTACTCAAAAAGCTGTATATTTTTGTTAGATTGTTAGCATTATATTTCATTTAGTATTAGCAAGCTGTATAAAATTTAAAAGTTGGATATTCTTTTTATTACTGTACCTCTACAAGCTACTTAATGTAGCTTAAATTTTTTCCTTTGGGCAGTTGCTACCCTGTCCTTCGACAATAAGCCCTTTGAAAGTTTATACATTTAAATATAGGTAAACCATTCATCTTCATTTTATTCTGTAGTTGGTATAGAGTATTTTAAGTCTTAAATTCCCTGCAGAGTCTGTTAGGCTTTTGACATTCTTTAGCAATGAATGCTTTGTTGAGTTTCATTTTTTAGACAGAATTATCCATGTACTATCTGCATATGGATGTTGTAACAAGCTTGTTTAAACTACTTTTAAACTTTTTTTTTTTTACTTCCACAAATGAAGATGTCATTTTAATATGGAGCGGTCATTCCATTTTAGATTTATAAAAAGTTTAGATGGACTATTGAGAGAGAGAGCTTTGGTAGACTTATTAGGGTCCTGGGGCATCTTTTAGTGGTTTTAAAAATCTTCTTTATGCTACTATTTTTGCTTAAAACCATCTTTCATTTTTTTCATCTAGAAGAAAAGATGTGGAGTGGGCTACTGCCTCCTGACCTAAATGAAAGTGATGCTGAATCAAATTCTGAAGATGAAGTGACACTAGAGAACTCAGAACTGAATTTAAAGGAAGATAAAGAGGATAGGATCAGTAGGAAACCAGAAGTCTCAGATTTCTCAAGAGATGGGTCAAAAACTGAAACAGAGGCCAAAGCAAATGCATATGAAGAGTGCCCTTCTGGAATCCCCATAAATATGTGGAATGTAGGTCTTCTCTGATATGCTCCTCTATGTCTTTGCTGTGGTCAGAATGTGCATGTTCTTTGGATGCAATTGGTAGGAAAGGGAGGCTCAAAATACTTTCACTGTTCTTTGAGTCATTGGTCACTTAACTTTCTTCTTCATTTTTTTTTCATAAAACTGAAGGAAAAAATAATACATAGAATTAGCTATTTTGGCTAATGTGATACATGAGTTTCTGTCTTTTATATTTTTATCTATTTGGGCCATTGAGCTTCATTCTCAAATTACCAAACAACTTAAACAAATGAATATCAAAACTCAGCAATGAGAATTTTGAGTTGAGTATCTCAAGAGCTGAACTATTTTCATTGTTGATATTTTTATAAATGTGAGAGTGTGTTTTTATTAACGTATTTGTTAGTTTTTGAATGCGTATCTTCAAGTGTATTTGCCTTTTAATTAAAATTTTTTTTCTTACTTTTGCATAGAAATTTCAAGAATTGCATAAAAAACATTCTGAACAGAAAACCTCAACCTCAAGATTCAGAGGGAACAAAAGAAAACGCTCCAGAAAAGGTGGTGTTACTTTAAATTCAGGTTCTCAGTAATACTAATGCTAAGTTGTGACTGAGTTAAATAATTTTTACTGTATTAATACTCTGAATTCTTTTCAGATAAATTGAAGAATGAAAAAGAATCTCATAGGTAGGTAGAATTGAAAATAGTTAAAATTAGCAGTTTTATGGAGCTTTTCCAAATAGCTGACCTACTTATGTCTGGTTCTCATCAAAAGTAAGAATTAGTAATTGGGTATACTAGTAAGAACCAGTTAAAAATAGTAAAAGTAAAACAATCAGTACATTTCATGTCATAGGACTCACTGTCTTTTTGCAGTGAACAGTCTTCAAGTGAAACCCAGTGGAAGGAGCTTACTCAGTATTTTGGAGCCAATGATAGATTTGATCCCCCTGTGAAGAAGAAAAAAGTTGACAAGGTACACTCTTGTTAAGTACATCTTATGTTAGCCAATAGGATATACTTGTGATTTGCCTTGCCTAAGATATTTGTCCATTAATTCATATAATTTTTTTCATTTATTCATATGTACATACAGTGTTTGGGTCATTTCTCCAATTCATATGATTAAAAACAAAATGTTTACTGTATACCAAAAATATGCTAGTTAAACAAGTAAATAGTTAAAAACTGTTAGGAATGAAAAGAACAAATTGTGAAAATGTTAAAAGGAGGACCTCATTTTGCCTTGAGTGGTAAAGGAAAGCTTTTCTTAGATGAGGCCATTTCACTGAAATCTGAAAGATGGAAAAAGACCATTTTCATAAATGACCGTGTAGAAGCAGTAACACAGGTAAAAATCCTAGGAAAGAGTCATTCTGGGACTTTCGAGTAACTGTTAAGTAGACTAGCCTGGTTGGAATAGAGTCAGTGAGGAGGAGGTGGCCCAAGATAAGATAGGAGAGGCAAACAGGCAGGGACCAAACTGGGTAGGATCTCAGAGGGCATAGTAAGGGAATGGGCTTAATTCACAGGGCAATTGAGTATCAGTCAAAGTTTTTAAGTTGAGAGTGACAGGATCTAATTTGTATTTTAAAAGTTTGTCCTAGCTGTAATATGAAGAATAGATTGTGGCATAGCAAAAGTAGACACAAGATGATGGCAGGTTGAACAAATATGGTGCTGCAGAAGATGGAGGAAAGTGTGGCGGGATTTGAAGTATAATGTAGAAGAAGCATCGACAGTATTTGCCTGTCCAGTGCAAGTCTGGTTCTAGGGAAGGTTGGGGCATAAGTATGGAGAGGAAGCCATTCAGGGTTTTGCCATAAGCAGTGGCTTGCACAGTGATGCTAGTTAAGATGCTGAGAAGAATTAGGAAGGGGAAAGATTGGGAGTGGTGCCTAGCCTGACTTCAGTTTGGGTTAGTGATGTAACTGGATTACAAGAGCAGAGTAGATGAGTAGTATGAAGAGGAGAGTCTGAGCATGAGGTACTTTTGAATTGTCAGTCTATAGAATTTAGAAAAGGCTTGAATGAATAACTACACATATTTTCCTAGGGGAATGTTGACAGGCTTTAGGAGCATGAAAATCAAGTGCTGAGTAGTAGGGATAGAGGCATAGTTGAAGCCCAAGTATAATGTGTCCCGTGCATAGTTTTGACAGATGCCTGTTGCAAGGATCACTGCTGTAGATTACTGTGTGTACTTAGAGACCTTTCTCATCTTCTGATGTGTTGGTATTGTGAAAAACTTCTCATTTAAAAAAATCTGTCACTGGGTGATATTTTGTCACTGAGGGCACATAGATTAAAGGACTGTCACAACAGAATTTTGCATGTGATTTGTTTTTTTTCTTTGAGATGGAATCTTGCTATCTTGTCCTGGGTGGTCTTGAACTCCTGGGCTCAAGTGATCCTTATGTCTCAGTCTCCCAGTAGCTGGGTTACATGTGATTGTTTTATTCCAACTTTGCAAAGAACTCTTACCATCCCCAAATAGTCCCTACAACCCTGGTAATTGGAACCAGGATCACTTTCTGCAATTAATTACTGCTACTAAGCAATTACCTCAAGCAGGTGCAGAAATGATCAATTTCCCACAAAGAAAGATCACTGGTAGAATTGAAAATAAAACCTGGGTTTCATGACACTACTCATGAGTTCCCTTGGGCTTGCTGTAGAAGGGGTAGTGACCTTTTGAAAGTGTAATTGCCATGCTCTTGATCCTTGTTACTTTGGTGGGCCAGGAGAAGAGGCCATATGAAGGGGCTGCTCTTGACTGTTCTATGCGGTGGGAAGGAGGATCATGCTTACTGTCCTGGTCCATGGGTTATCACTTGGCAGACCAGTGGCTGATCTGCTGCTGACTGGATCTTTGAGGGAATGAATGGTTAAATATTGGTTCTAATAAGAACTTTTTTTTAAGTTTTGCTTGTGAGTTAAATGGCCTTTGATTTTCAGTTTTTTGCAGTATTATATTTTCTTATAACTATTGACTTTAGGATGTGTAAATTGTTTCTTAGTGAAGTAAAGCCATGAAATGCACTTTTTAACCATTCTAAAAAGCTGAAACTTAGTTTTTATAATCTGTTAGGATTTTATTGTCATCTTATGTATGAAATTGTTTCATCTTGATACTGGCCAGTTATGGCTAGCTCTTATTGTGTAGAATTTGGTGTTTGTGTGGTTATAAGGATTCTTTATGCAATTCAGTCTTTTATACAACTCAGTTTTAGGATCCAGTGTCTATTTCATATTATGCATTTCACATGTGTTTTGGAAGAAAATTGTAAGTCATATACCATTGTAAAAGTAAGATTACAATTTAAGAGAAATTGTTGTAAATCCTGTCTTAAGTTTAGGTTCTTTTAATGCAGACATTCTTCTGTATATATGACATCTGACTAAGAAAGTTATGGCAGTCTTATAACTAAGGAAACTTGTTGGCCAGCCTTGTATTTGTCCAGGATTTTGCCAGCATTTACTATTTTACAAATAAATGCAAGCATGAAAGGAAAAGGAGGATTTAGTGAAACGAAATTATTTCATGGTCTCTTGGGAGCTTGCATACCATCAAGTCCACACTCATTCTTTGTTTTGGGATAATGGTTTTACATAGCACCCTTTTTGCTTTTGTACTAAAGTTTCTACTCTGAATCCAATAGAAGTAACTTTTAAAGAATGTCCACATTGGAGATGCCAAGATAAAAGCTACAAATAAATGTTAAGTCCAGAAGATAGTAACTACTGCTTCTGAAATCTAGTGATGATCATCCAAACTGTCATGCAGTGTGGACAAAACTAGCATGGATTTGCAGTCTATTATTTTATTTCTCTGGAGCAGAGGCTGATCTGTTGCCATATCTCAGAGAGCCTTTTTGTTTTGTTTTCACTCAACCTTCAAGAACAGTAAAGCAAAACAAACTTCTTAATCTTGTGTCTATCATGCAGTCTTTTTTTTTTCCCTTTTTTGGAACACTGCCAAGCTGAAACTTGCTGAGCCCAGAATGTGTACTTACAGCATTGCTGTCACCTGCTTGCCAGGCAATGCAAAAAGGCTTGTGTTTTTTAAATGTAATCTTCCTAATATCCAAAGCTGTTTTAAAGTGTTCTTTGTATTGAATACAGCTATAATTGTGTTTTTTGGCAGCAGTTCTGGGACTTACTAGTAATTCTGTAATCATAACATAATTATTTTGAATCTATGTGGGAATTTCTGTAGAATAAATTTAAATTGTTGATTTCATGATAAATGCCTCAAGTATTCTTTGGTTAAATCAATTTGATTTAGTCAGCAGTCATTATTGGAGTAGTTCTATGTATATAATGGATACTTTTTGGTACGAAAACCAGAGGTACTTTTATTAATTTTTACAGTTTTTGTATAATTCTTTGATGGTTTCTAAAGTTGTTTATGAGAGGAAAGTGCTCTCAAGTAGTGTAGCTTTATCAAGCTTTTTTTAATTTTTTATGGAATACTTTTTCCATCCAGCCTCTTATGTGGAGCTCCAGTTCATAGATCAGATAAAAGCCTGGTTGTCTTGAGTGGGTGGGAAGGGAAGTGTAGGGGTATGAGAGTATTATGGTGCCATGAAGTTCCCCGGGTATCAGTTACAAAGCATTCTGTCTTGATCCCTGTGAGAGGTCTGTGGGGTGGGTAGGCAGGGCCAGTGTTAGTCTCATAATGCAAATGAAGAAACTGAAGCTTAGCGTAATTTGTCTAGCAAAACAAACAGCAGGTAAAAAGTGAAATGAGACTAAACCCACGACATTCGGTCTCAGATACAGATATTTCTGAAATAGTGGCTGAATTTAACTTTTACTTACCTGCTTCAAATGATTTAAGTATGTATGAGTTAAATACCTTTATATATAAATCATAATAAATAGGTGATTCATGTTTATATATAAAGGTTGCTTTCACACTCCCCTGTCTTTTTTTTTTTCGGTGCTGGGGACTGAACTCAGGGCCTTGCACTTGCCAGGCAAGTGCTCTTCCACTGAGCTAAATCCCCAACCCCTCACTCCCCTGTCTTTATGGACAAATTGCCTCATGTATTTTTGTGTGGGACTAGGATTTGGAATCTGGGCTTCATGCTTGGAAAGCAGGTGCCTACCACTTGAGCAACTCCTCTAGTCCATTTGGTCTAGTTATTTTGAAGATTGAGGGGTGGGGATTGTCTTGACAACTGTTTGCCTAGGCTGGCCTTGAATCTCAGTCCTCCCGATCTCAGCCTCACAAGTAGCTAGTATTACAGGTGTGAGCCACTGGGGCCTGACTTCCCTAGATAATTAAATCCAATCATAGTAAAGTAAATTTCTATGGATAACTTATTTGTATTAGGTCTTCAAATTGGATATATTATTCAAATAAATATTTAGTGGTAAGATTTTTGTAGAAAATTGTGTTATAGTTTAACTTAAAGAGCTTTAATCACATAATAAGATATTCTGCTGTGCATGTAAGTCCCCAGTCTTAAACTTAGTGTCCATAAATTGCTTACATGTTTGTAGTCATGTCATCTTGGCGTCTGTAGCGAAAGTTCGTTAATTAGAGGGTAGTAGTTGCCTCGTGGGAACCTGTTAGATACCACCCTTAGATGAATTTTCTACCTGTGGCCAAATTGCCATTCCTAAATTTCGTTGTCCATGTTGAGACATATCTTAAGCTAAATTTTGATTCTAGTAAAGTTAGACATACACCAAGGCACTGCAGCTATCAGCAGTACCCTATCCCTTTTGCCACTTCTATGCTATGGAAGATGTCCTGGATAAGCCAGATCAAAGCTACTCTTGGGTCCAACTTAAAATGTTTTAAAAAAACTTTAATACTCAAATCCTATTTCCTGTCACTACTTAGAAATTTAAAGTTGAATTCCTGTGATCCGGGCTTGTATCTGAGTCCTTGAAGAGGGTTGTTTCCATATAGACATAAGCCTTCTCTTCATATTAAATGCATCTTGGTACTTAGAACAGTTTATCACTGACTAAATAATTCCCAGCCAAGATAATACATATCTTGGTTAGATATGCATTATATCTAGATTATATTATGTATTTTCTTGACCTTTACCAGAACCTTGCAGAAGAATATTTTTTTCTGGTTTTATTATATGTATGGTAAGTGCAGCTCACAGAAGCTTAGAAACTCACCCAAGGTTGCTTGGTTCAGGAATGTATGCGTGTCGAAGCCTGGGTCTGACTGCCCCAACTGTGCTCTTGGTAAACTGAGGTGAATTTACTGTCTTAAGGAGTTGGGACAGTTTTATAGAACAGTATTTTTCACAATAAGAGCATTTTGAATGTATTTGGAATGTTAATGTGTTCTTACAGATAGGAAAAGTTTGTATACATGGAAACATTTTTCAGAATCAAAAGGAGCTATTATACTTTAATAAATTGCAAGAAAGAGAAAAAGCAAGACAGTTATATTTAGTAGAACTTTGTTGAAGTTTTTAAAAGAAATTTTTCAAAGAGCTAAAAACGAAGTTGAAATGAGGTAGAAACCTAGGATTTTATTTCTAGGAGGGAATTTTGGTCATGAGTTAAGAAACTCATCAACCAAAGCTATGACCACATTTCTGTTAGTGTGAATGGCTGGGGGAATAGGAATTGGTTGATAGTGAAAAGGCAGATTTGTAATTTTAAGTGAAAATTTAACGTTTAATAAGGTCAGTAGTATATGAGTTTCTAGAAAAGGGGAGTGTTTTTCCTTTGTTTTGAATTTTGAGCTCTAGCTCTGTGGTAACCAAAAGGACATTGACGAGTTGATGCAGCAAAACAACTCAGGAAGCAAACAGTTTGTTTCTTCTTGGGCATGTATGGCAAAAACAAAGTAAATTTCTCTTTACTTATGAATCTATGGTCATTTTAGGTCCTGGTATAAAGGAATGCAATGCCCAGGTCTGCTATAATTTCAGAAAGCCTAGATAATTGGAAGGGAACAGAGCTGCTGTATGAACAAGCAAGGCAGGCTTAAGAAAGTACATTAGTGACCAGGTTGCCGAGGTGAAAGTTTGGATAAGCTCTGAGTTGAGGTATCTGGCTACCCAGAATTTGTGATACAAGGACACTTGAATTTGATACTCATCTTTTGTTTCATCTGTCTCAGTGGCATTTGAGGAGGTACTTAATACTCTGCATAGGAAGAAGAGACTATTAACATTTTTAGTAAAAATAGATTTATTTCTAATATAAACTAGATAGTAAACATTGGGTTTTAGGTGTAGGTATTGTACTAACTGAGAGGCCAAGATGGATAAGCTATTTCCCTAGCCTTCAAGGAACATATATTAGTAACCGGACAGATTTATATAAATAAACATAATAATAACATGTGAACGCCCTTTTTCTTTACTGTAGGAGCATTATTACCTCAATATTACTTTTGTAGAATTCTGTTTGGAATTTCTCAAAGTGACAGGTATGAAATAAATGTTCCCAGTGTGCGTGGGTCCTTTTAGTATTGATGTAAATGTAGATTACTGATATGTTGGCCATTAGCTCAATAGTAAAGACTGAGCGAGTGCCTCCTGTGTGGGAGAAACTGGGTTAAATTCTAAGACACACTAAGCCAGTGATTCACAGAGTCTTGCCTTACTAAGCATAGAACCTAAGAGAGGAGATGGACAGTGTGTCAGATCAGTAAGTGCTGAAGGGAAAATGCAGTGCAGTAACAGCATAGAGTGGTGAGCAGTCTGGTATAGGCATGGGGAGAGGTGGCAGTCAGTAGGTGTATAGGACAACAGAGAAGATAACATTTGGTATCAGCCTGAAAGGATGATTAAGATTTTCAAAGGGAAGCAGCACATCAGAGAAACAGGGAATATGGATAAAATGGCACATGTGGTCAGAGATTAGGAAGCATGAGGCTGAGTAAAAAAGTCATCTAGACAAAACTACTCGTGTTTGATTTGCATTTTGGTATGGGCTCAGGTCCCTTACCTTTGCACGGATCAAAATAAACAGTTGATAGATTGGTCAGACCAGAATGATACATAGACCAGATGGAGTGGTGCTAGCCTAGAGTATAGACTTTTGAGGTAGTTAGTTCCTAAAAATGAAAGATCTTGGTAAAGAGTCCAGGGTGTTGTTTCTAATATCAGAAGAACAATTCTATAGAGATAAAAGAAAGGGAAATTTCTGGAGATTGAATAGGAATAGGAAGAGGGCATTAGAGCCATGTGACCTAAGGTCAAAGATTATGAAGGTTAATTGGATGAACCAAAAAACCAGGTCCTTAGGTAGGATTGTGAAAAGGATCAGTCTTCACTTAATGATGGACATCAATGATGACTTTGTTCTTGTAATCTTTTTAGGCAGGTTATATTGTGGTTATTTTTTTTTAGTCTCATTTCAACAAAGGTTTTAGGAACAAAAATTCTCAGTTGACTGGTATACTCAAGCAGTATACTGGCGAAAGAGACATTCTTAGCACTTCTGTTGTTAAAGAGGGAGAAGTCTGTAAGAGATCCAGAATTAACTGAATGTGTGGAAATTAAAGGATACCTTGGGTAGGCCATTGTTAGGATAAAATTTTCTTACAAGAAGCATATGTTATACAATTTAAATTTAAAAATTTTCTGTAGTAACTATTTTTACAAACTAGAACTCATTTATGTCAAAGCATCTTTTCATAAGTATGTGATGAGTCCTACCGTGTCTGGCAATCCCATGAAATTTTTAATTATGATTTCTCAAAGCATCTTTAGTAAATTAAAACATTTCCATAGGAAAATAGTCACTTTTGTGTATCATTTACTCCCATATTTAATAGTCAACATATGTCCATAGTTGACTGTATCATCAAAGATGATGATGAAGGGCTGTTGGGTGAAAGTCTTGAACTGTAGGAAAGGGATGTGATTGAGAATTCAGACTCTGAGAAAACCTGAATTCATGTCATGGTTTTTCAATTTATGGGTTCTGACTTTGGCCAACTTGGGCAATCTAAGATCTGTTTCTTCATCTTTAAAGCAAGATAACATTATTGTTTCCTGGTGTTGTAAGGATTAAATTAACTTTCTTATTAATACTAAGCCTAGGGTCTACCATGTAATAAGCACTCCATAATTTTTATTACTATTACTATCATTGACATTGTTGTTTTTAAGAGAAAGCAGTTTTTGGATTCACAAAAAAAAATCTTAATCTGCATCTCCTTTTATTGGTTGGAGAAGTTAGGAACTTGGATAAGCCATTTAATGTTTCTGAGACTTCTCATTTGTAAATGGGAGTAGTAGCAACTATGATCAGGGTTATTGTGAGACTTAAATATCTACATATATAATGCATTTGGTGTAGTCCAGTGATATAGTCTTGGCTAGCAAATAGCTGACTTTCCTTCCTGCCCTTAATTTGTAGATTTCTTTTCTTTCCAGTCAGGCCTTGAAAAGAGGATGGACCAGGCTGTGGAGGAGTGGGATGTTGAGAAGGCTGAAGAACTCAGCAACCAGCTAGCTACTCGAGAGGTAAGACAAACTGATCATACATTATTATATTTTCACATTTTCTAAAATGAGTACACATTCTTTTTATGATCATCGATAAGTTCAGTATTATATTTGACCTAAGAGTTTTCTTTTTGTCTCCTGTCTTCTCTCTTATTGTGCCACTTATTTTGAAACACTGGGTTACATTTTTGTCTTTAATGTTTTAAAATTATTCTGGTCTAAAATTTAGGAATAATCCGTAATTGATATTTGACCGTTGTTTGACCTAGATCAGAGAGCTTTTTTTCAGACATGATTAAAGGGCTAGTTTTCTTTTTCTATTTGTATCTTTAACTCAGCTTAATTCTTGCTGAAGACAGCTATATGTTCTAAAGACACATAGCTCAACCTTCTCTTAACCCTGGCTGAAATGCTTTCTTAACTATATATTCTGCACATGTTCCTCAGCCCTAAAGAATTTTCAGCCTTTCTCCCCTGTAGTCTGTAGAATAAAACTAATAGTTATATTTAGTAGCCTTTTTTCCAACTGTAGAAGGTCACATGAAAGTACTGACTTACACTCCATGTGGACAGGGGTAAGGGTGCAGGGCCAGACTAAAACTGGCAATGTCTTGGTGTTTTGTACTTCCTTTTTGTTCTTTCTAGGAAAAAATCTAGTTTTTATTTTTAGTGCCTGAATTCTTACTTCCTTCATGTCATTCTTAAGCCATAGCTTCTCCCTGGTGTTTAGTTACATAGAAAGCACTGTGGGTTATCTGTGAAAACTGCTGGCCATGCCCAGTGTTATGCTCACCTGTAGGTTAAATGGTTTCCTAAACTGAGACTGGAGATAAGTATATTATTTCAGTAATTATTCTTTGGAGTTACTGTTGCATCCTTCCATCATCTAATACCAAAAATCAACCATGGTTTCCTTCTGTTTTGGGCTGTAAGCCTGAAGGCTCTTGTGGGTTTTATTTATCTTTTTTTGTTGTTGGTCTTAGTTTTTTGAGCTAGTCTTATTCTGAAACTAAGGCTGATTTTGAACTCTGACCCTCCTGCCTTATTTTCCTGAGTGCTAGGATTTTAGGTATGCACCACCACACCCACCTTGAGTTTTATATTTTTACTTGGAAAAAACAAGTTCAGAAGAGAGGCTTAGGGCTTCCAACATTACCTTTTTTTTCTTTAACCCTTGTAAAGTCATTTATCACATTAATGTGTGTGCATGTGTATTAATGATTGATATAAAGGATATTAGAAAGCTCTGATCTTCAGCTAGGGACATTGGCAAGAAGTAGCATAACTGCAGTTATGTGGCTTTTCAGAAAATAGGCTGATAGTTTTTCAAAAAATTATCATTTAAACCACCTTTAAGTGTACAATGTAACTGCATGATGTACATTCAGGTTGTTGTGTAGCAGTTACCATCATCCATCTGCACAACTCCTATCATCTTGTAAAACTGATATAGCACCCATTAAATAACAACTCCACCCAGTTCTTGACAACCATCCCTCTGTTTCTATGAATTTGACTTCTGTAGGAACCTCATATAAGTGGAATCATGTGTTTGCTCTTTTGTGTGTGGTGTAGTTCATATGGCATGTCTTCAGAGTGCATCCATATTATAGTTTGTTTAGAATTTCCTTCCATTTTAGTACTGACTAATACTCCATTGTATGTATTTTTACATTCTGGGTATTTGTGACATTTTGTCTATATGTCCAACTGCCAGTGGATACTTGGGTTGCTCCTACTTTTTGACTACTGTAAATAATGTTACTATGAACATGATTTTACAAAATACCCCTTTGAATTCCTGCTTTTAGTTCTTTTGGATATATGCCCGGAAGTGGGGTTGCTGTATCATAAAAGAAAGTTGTATGGTGTACATTTGGTAATTTTAATTTGGGGGGACTATTGTGACTAAGCATAGCCAGCAAGGCTTTGATACACTCAGGTACCTTGTATCTGAGCTCTCATTGGATATTCTTTATATTTGCTTTTTTCTTGTAAGATTCTCCTCTTCCCTTGTAGTATTTCTCTATTTCACGTAAAAAAGACATATTTTGATTCATAGGGCACAGCTCTCATGCTATAGCAAGTAGTTCACCACTTAGTTACGGCCCCAGCACTGTCACGTGTCTTCAGTCTGTAGTAGTTCCTCAGTCTTTGTTTCTCAGCACCTTAGCCTTTTTGAGGAGTAGAGGCCAGTTAGTTTATGCACACCCCACTGTTTGGTTTTGTCTAATGTTTCCTCGTGTTTAATCTCAGAAGTGATAGTGTGCCCTTTTCCATGCAAGCTATCCAGAGATACATATTAAATCTTTGTCCCACTGTTTGATGGTGTTACTTTGATTATTTGATTAGGGTAGTATCTCTGGTTTCTTCATGGTCAAGTTAATAGTTTCCCTTTGTAATGAAGTATCTTGTAGGGAGATGAGAAGTAATCTGAGAACTGTGTATAATCTTTCTCACTATATTTCCAGCAGTTTTAGCATCCTTTGCTGATTCTTTTCTTGCTTGGAGCAGTTATTACGGTGACTGCCAAATGACACTAGATCTTTAAAATATCATTTGATTGTATTACATCTTTACTTGGCAAACAACACCCAAAATTTGGCTGAATTGAGATTTTGGATTATATAACTTTTTCTGTAATCCTCACAGTAAACCTGGACAATGTCCGAAATGATGTACTGGGTTGGGAAGAGATTGCCATGTTATATTCTGCCCACCAGCAGTGGTATTATACACCCCACCCTGGCCTGCCCCCACCTGTTCACTGGTGAGCTTGCCTTGCTATGTGCAGTGTGCAGCTGCCTGGCAGAAAACCCAGACACAGTGCTTCAGAGGCTTTAGAAATGGACACTTCTTTGAGGATACTGAGGTTCTGTTTGCTGTTTTGTCATCCTGTTATTTTAGAAGTGGGCATTTTATAATACTGACTACCTGTTTTCCATTGTAAGGACTCTTGTTTCCCATCGTACTTTATGACAAGTGAAGATTGCTTTAGAAATACATGATATTTTCAGCAGTTTTGAGAATAGTAAATATTTTTCTTAATTTTCCTTTTCATTTCTTTGTTCTGATAAAATAAAGTTATTTAGTGTAAGATTAAAGAATTGTGATCAACAAGAAAAACAGTAGTGTGAGCCCTATACTTTTTCATGGATAAGTGAAAAGACGTTTCGAAAATGTTTGTTGTCGAGTCACACATGTTGGAAAGATACTGGTGCTCTGTTAATCAGGTACCCATGAAGAATAACCAAGATGGAATTCTTGAATGAACACTTCCATTTGAGATTTAAATTTCCATACTCCTTGCCTTAGTGCCCATCACTCTGGATATGAGAGATGGAATTTGGAGAAGTGTGAGTTTGGGGCAGAAGCCCTTTATGAATTAAGTGTATACATGCATGGTAGGTGTCCTTTGGAAGTCAGGTATATTGGTTTTTAATCAGTACCATTTTCTTTTTTTCAAGAAGCAGCGACTGGGACCTGCTGATAAAGCCTTTGCTCAGAGGCACAGATCCCAGAGTTCTTAAAGTCCTTTCCAGCCATAATCAGTGAAACTAATTTTTGATGTTTAACATCTATAAGCCTGTGAAACCAATAGGGTAGATCAGTTTTGAGAAAAATGAAGCCAAAAGTAGAGCCAAATCTGTAAATAGACCTTGAAAACAGTTCTTCAAAAGCAGTATGCTAAAATAAGACAGTCAATATGCTGTCATTCCAGCAAGTAGATAATTTACCAGAAACACATTCATGATGACAGTGAGGACGTATGGGATCTAGTCAGGAGAGATGCCTCGAGTTCATGTGTTAGAAGCCTAGATTATGCTATTATTTTTGGTTTTGTCATTTAGTGACAAGTTGCTTTGAGATTAAATCTCCTATTGGTTAAATCCTGTGGTGGTGTTAACAGTTTTGAAGGAGAAATAAAGTAGAGGCATATACTTAGCTTTGTGTCATACTGATAAAACGTTTCTAATTTGGAAAAAAAGGTTTTCCTTTAAAAAAATAATACATACACATTTTGAGATTATATATATATGTTAATCTCAGGCTTGGAAGTACATTTGGTTTTTGTTCATTCATATTGATCTTTGAAACCGCCATCCTTTGGTATTGTCTTATCTGACATGTTATACTTGATATAATACATATCATACCAATTTATAGAAGTCTGTAGAAGCAAATATTTTGAAATTAAGTACTAAAGCCTAGATCTAATTAAGTAGGCAGCAGTTAGGTTGAATCTCACATTTTTTAAGGAGGATTTTTCTCTAAGCATCTTCAGGTTAGCTGCTGGAGGTAAAAACCAACTTGGTTTGGCAGTAGATCAGTGTGTTCCCACCATGGGATGAATCATACTTGTGTTAACTAGATACAGTAGTCAGTGGATTTCAGTTCTACCTGTACAGTGTCAGGGCAAAAATAAACAGGGAATTACCTATAAATTTTGTTTGTGCTTATGCCCTCAGAGATTAAGCTTTTTTGGTGAGTAACTGAAATAGGATAGTCTTTGGCAGCATGAAGTAAACTTTACTCCTGGAAAACACCAGTATTCATGTTGTGATATTATAATAACTTTATGCAACCTGGAAGGAATAGTAATGTTATTCTTTGAGGATTTGCAAGGTATTAATATTTACATCTGAGATATTTTGGTTATAATCTAGTCATCTTCACCCAGGCCAAAACTATAAGATTTAATGATAGGATAAAATGTCTCATATTTTAAAACTCATTTTCTTGAAATAAGACTCATGACAGTGACTTGCTATTAAGCACAGTAATCATTTAGAATCTAACCAAAGTATCACAGGTAGAAATGATTGTGTTTGTGTGTGTGTGTGTGTGTGTGTGTGTGGTTTTAATATCATCTTTATAAATGTAAGTAGGATGAGTTAACTCCATTATAAAGTAGATTGCTAAATTTTTGGATTCCAAAACATAGATAAAGTTAACAAAGTATTTGTAGTTTGTAAATATTTGGTAAAAAAGGTAGGAAAGGCCTTTTTAAAATTTAA